TGTAACGGCCTTGCGTTACGTGCGGGATAGTCTTAGCCGGTGTGGTCCGGGTTTCGTGTGTGAAATGAAAACCAGTGGTACAGGTGACAATAATGTGGAACTATATTCTAGTTTCGAAGCTATTTACAATTATTTACAGGCGACGTTACGCCGTTGGCGCGTGGTCGCGTTTTTGCTCTCGTCGGGAGCCGTTGTTGTCGTCTCGCGATCAGCTGCGAGCGTCGAGGCGCGCGAGCGTCAGGCGGGACGCGGTCGGAATTGTTTCCGGATACACTATTGTTCGTCGTTCGGAGTTCGTTGCCTCATCGGCTTTAATCTGTTTATCTATCCTGGTCTTTCCTTGCTGGTTTAAAGGCGCTCGTTGTCGCCGTTATCTTACGCCTGGTATGCGTTCGCGATCGTAGGTGTTAGCGGCGTAGCGTGAGGAGGAAAAGGATGCCGACGTCGCGTATCCACTTCGGTCGACGGAGCGAGGTACAGATAGGAAACCGACGTCGCGTATCCACTTCGGTCGGTAGAGCGGTATCGGAGAAAGGATGTCGACGTCGCGTATCCACTTCGGTCGACAGAGCGGTGTATGGATAGGAAACCAACGTCGCGTATCCACTTCGGTCGGTAGAGCGGTGTCGGAGAAAGGATGTCGACGTCGCGTATCCACTTTGGTCGACAGAGCGGTGTATGGATAGAAAACCGACGTCGCGTATCCACTTCGGTCGGTAGAGCGGTATCGGAGCAAGGATGTCGACGTCGCGTTTCCACTTCGGTCGACTACGGGATGTATAGGATCTCTAGGAGTTTTGAGTTCTGCTCGGTCGTGCGCCTGAGAAGAGCCTTCTGATCAATCTCTCTCGATATCAATTTTCTGTCGGCTTTTATACTAAATTATAACAAACAGTTCGACTGTTTGTTGACCTTGCGGTTATTCCGTGCGCGGTTGTTCGGCGTTTTCTTGTTAGTAATTGTTTCGGATGTCGTGACGCTTTCCGGATCGTCACATCCCCCCCCCCCCTTTGTAGTGCCTGTCCCGGGCACTTATAACTAAACATCTTGCAACTTATCACTAAAATTAATCTACTTATTTCTACTCGTAGTCTACCCTTCACCAATTATGTGTTATTTTATGTCCTAACTTATCAATCTTACTTTAACCTAATCCTACTCTTAATCCTAATCCGGTATTTTTTCTTCGCGGTACGGCTTTCTGTTTTTATTTAGCCCGGTATGCTATTTTCAGCTCTCCTGTCTTTGTAAATTTAAATTTCCATAGCTCACCGTCGATGTACCGCCTATATTTGTGTGCCTTGTGTGCTGTGTAGTACGGCACGTCGATTGCTCTGCCCTCGGTAATCGGTATTCTGTACGCCTTTGTTGATTGTTACGGTTCGCGGGTTGTTAATAATGACTTTTTGGTTTACCCGCTTGTTCGTCAGAATTCTTATTGCTGGTTTTGTCCGTGGTTGGCCTGGTTGTGTCCGTATGTTGTTGTCTGGTGTCGTTGGTGTTTGGGCGGCTTGTGTTTGCGTGGCTATTGGTGTTGTAGATGGTACATGCGATATGCCCCATGTAAGTGACCTGACATGAGGTCGGTGTCTCCTTACTAGTTGTTGCTCCAGATTCATGAGTGCCCTCAGTTTTTCTTCTGCTTTTCTAGCTGTCGGCGGTGCCTTGGTGCACGCTATGGCTGGCTTTCGCGGCGGTTTGTCTGATGGTGGTTTCTTCCCTGGTGGGAGTTCTCTTGGCGTTGTTTGCCTTCCCTTTGTTTCCTGTTGCTTGCTCGCGCTTTCTGTCAGTGAGTCCCATAGCGCCAGGGCCTCTGTTTCGTTCCAAGTTGTCAGTAGGTTTTCTATTGTTTCGTCTATGCTCATTTTCGACTGTTTTCCCGGTCTGTAATTTTGTCCCTCTTATATAGTGATTGTCTTGATGTTTGTTTTGCGGTTTGTTGTCGGGCTCTCTTTGTATTTTTGTCCGTAGTGTGTCAGGCCAGAACCGACTTGGATAGTGTTCCCGATTATCGGGTAATGTTTTTTTTTACGGCTGCCAGCCTTCGAGCCAATTTTTCAATTCTTGGTTGAACTTCATTTTGCTTTCTTTCTTTGGTACTGTTGATTTACTAGCTCTCTTTCTAGTGTCC